CCTAAGCATTTAATACAAATGAGTACTGTACAACAGGTATTGAGTGACTGCTGAGTGGATTAAGAACTGACTAACTGATAGGTGTCAAAAAGCAGCTGTCAGCTCTGAAGGAAAGCTCGGGACTCAGTTTGCAGAAATGGGTGTTACGCTTGGCAGGCCCCAGGACTGCCCTTAATGATTGAGAGACAAGTACATCCCTAGTTAAACAATGCTTAGCAAATTAGGGAGGAAATTAAAAAATTGGTGGGATGATAAATAAATTGTGAAGATGGAGCAGCCAAATTCCGTAAGCAGGACCTCTGCAGAAAAGAATCTTAAATCGTGCACAAATAGTGTCTGTATTGATGCAATAGAAATCATATCCCAAGGGTGGTGCTTGAAGAGTCCATAGTATCACTGCAGGGAAGCAATTGGACACAGGACTTGATCTGATGGTGTGGAAGAGGAATAACATTCTCTTTGAACAAGTTGGCAGGGATATGTGAGTTGACTTATGTGGCTGGGGTGTGTTGCAGCACAGTGGGTGCTAGAAATCTGAAAAAGGGTGGGAGAAAAAGTACAAGAACTGCTTGCAGATTCGAAAGTACGTTTTGTTTCCCTTACCAAAATGTGATGACTGGATTACTGTGTATAATTACCTTCACAACAAGAAAAAAAAGTGTCTTGCATCAGATGAATATATTACAAGAATCAGTGGGTGGAAATATAAGCCAAGTAAATTTAAGCAAGCATCGAGGCTTGGATTTGTAGCAGTAAGTGTGATGAACTGCTGAAAAAAACTGCCCAAGAAAGCAATTGTGTACATATCAAAATTGAATCCCTTTCTGGAAAACACATGTCAGCCAAGCAGAAATTTTGGGCTCTGTATATAGGGAATCAGGCAATGTCTGCAACAGAAAATGTTAGACAGGACAGTTAACGGACATTTCTGACCTGCAAGGTCATAAATCAAGGACAATGTCTTTAATATTTTAATTATTTAATAACTTTAATATTTTAGGCCAAGTTCTGTTTGTTTCTTACAGCTAAGTCATCCAACTAATCCCAAGGAAACACTGAGGCAAATAGTATCAGGAACGGCAAGTAGTATGGTCTTGTAAAAAGTAAAACATATTAAATATGCCGTTCTTGTTAATAAGCAAAATATAAATTCTATATATCACAGATTTGGGGACCAAGGCTGTAGGCTGTGGCCAGGATGCTCCAAGCTGGCACTCAGCAAGCAAGGCAGGACGCTCAGGGAGTGAACTGAGAGATACACAGCATGATGGGAATGTGGGTGAGTGCTGTGTGGAGCACTGAATGTGTCATTTGACACGGTTTCAGGTATTCGTGTTGAGAGAAAGAACTTCAATTGTTTTGGCGGAGAACACTGCTGTGTAGACTAAAATGGGAGAAAGAATGTAAACAAAGAGCAATGATCAATTGTTGTAGCTTGTGGAAATGTCTTACAGGTCATGTCAGGGACTTTTGTCAGACATTGTTCTATTTAGTATCTGTATGATAATCTCAAAGTAGAGGTAAACAGCAAAATAGTGAAATGTGGTGATGATACTAAACCAGGAAAGAATGTAAACAGAAGAAAGCAGATAATGATATCAAAGGAATGGGAGATACTAGAAAGCTAAGCACAGAATCGCTCAAACAATTCACAATTAAAAAAAAAAAAAAACGAAAACAAACACCAGGATTTATTGGAATGTACATATCCTGGCCATCAGTATTTCTATTTCTGATAGAGTTTCAAGGTGCAGTGAAAAGAAGACCAGATGGGAGAGAGGTATGAATTTGCACAGTTATGAAAGCTGTGCACGTATAGATATGTACTATGAAGCAGGGAGGTAAGAATGCCTGTGCAAAAGATCTGTACCATGAAGCAGGGAGGTAAGAATGCCTGTGTAAAAGATCTGTGCTATAACATTCAACTCTGTGTTCAATATTGCCAGCCACTGACTGACTGGAAGGCATTGGAAGAAATCCCACAACGATTCAAAGGCTGGAAAAAACACTTGGGGGAGACTCAGGCTCAAACCAAACATCTCATTAAGCATAAACTTAACTTAAAGTGTATGAGCTGTGCTGCAGATTTACAACTCCCTTTACAGCCCTGCTAGGTGGCTTTAACAAAGGAACTACATATCAGGTTAAAGTTAAACAGTGCACATGTTAAAGCACTTCATCAGCCTGGAGCAGGAAAGGGTTTGGTTAGATCTGAGAGGAAACACGATCAAAATCTGTGAGCCCTTGGCCACCAAAAGGTGCATGCTGGCTGCATCAAAATCACCAGGCAGCCGTTGATTACCATAAGGCATGGAACAAAGGTCTGTGAAGTCTTAAACCAGCCAACATTATATAACAGGGAGAGAGGATGGCACTGAAATCATACCTTTCGTGTCTATTTTCTTTTAAGGTGAAAATTGGAAGGCTGTCAGATGGTCTTTCAAGAGGAGTTCATATTGCTGGGGGTTTAGGATAGGTTTGGGTAAAGCACTAGAGAATGTACGTCTTTACATTGGAAGGCTCAGTGTTCTTCCCTATCCCAAGAATTCCTACAGTTACCACAGAACCTTCACAATTCAAGGTGGGAGGAACAGTTCCCTTCTGAGCTCTGAAATAATCTCTGTGACTGTTCATAAAACAGTTACTGTGAGGCTAAATTCCTGGTGCTGGTTTTCAAACGAAAGAAAATTAATCTTTAAAGAATAGGGCTGTGGAATGCTGAACTGGAATCACAGATATGGTGGGAATATCTCTCCTGTGTAACCATTTATTGTGCTTATAACTGAGAATTATCTGAAATAGAGAGCAGTTTGTTCTCTAAGAATGGTATTTTGGGGGAGTTAGCACTCAGTTCTTTTGGAAAGTCAAGAGGAGGTGAATACTCATCTCCTTAGACTCCTAATCATTGGCACAGACTGAGAAGGGGCTTTTTATAAAATTTTAGTCAGAAATAGTAGGGGAAAAAACTCTTCTGGAAAAAATTAACACTTCAGTGTTTTGCTTAAATAATGATTCTAGGCTTATAATACTGTAACTATCACATGATTTTATAGCTAGTATTAGCAAATCACTGCAGATTTACTTTCATAATTTAGAAATAAATTAAGGAAGAAAGTGTTGACTTTGGTAGGGATTTAGTCCTGGAAAATTAGCAGGCACTTTTCTGGGCTTTACTAGTCAATACCCACAAGAATTTAATAAAACCCTTGCATAGATTATGAAATAAGTAACAGGGAAAGACCAAATGAGTGATGATTAGGGCAGAGCTTCCCTCTACAAGTCTTGATTGAACAAATTTTTCAAAATCAGGTTTCTCATCAGAGGATTGAAGTCAGGATATAGGGTTAAATTATTCACATGAATGAGTATCTACAAATCTTTCTCCTTTTTCTTCTTTCTCACTAACCTTTACAGTCCAGTTTTATGTTGTACTGCTTTATTAATACCTTAGTGCTTTGCCTCTCCCAACAGGATGTCTCTATAAGATCTTTATGTGCCAAACTCACAACCTGCTGCTCTCTTCATGCATTTGCTTAGTTTTAACATTCAGCACTCAGTCCCCTTTGGATATTGAGTTGCTGCAGCAGTTGTTAAATATTTTATGTGTAGTACAATACAAAAGCTACCAAAAGAGGGCAACATATGAGCCAACAATAAGAAATGCATCCTGACAAGTTTACGGTTGTGTATTTGTGACACCCTCCCCCCCTTTTTTTTGATAGAGAAAGAAATTTTAGCAGAGCTGGTCAGTAAACAGAATTTCCATCCTATGGGAAATTCCAACACTTGGGGAAAAAGAGAAGGTGGTGAAGTTTTCAGGGACTGAGAATTCCAAGAGAATATATTTGGCATGGTGGAAGTGTTCCGTAAGTGTCAAATCATTCTCACACCAGAAAACCCGAAAGTTATAATGACATTAAAATATTCAATTTAGTAGGAGAAATGCTAAATATATGAAAGCTATATAAAGTTCAAAACAAGATTAAACAAAACAAGGAACTACTTATATGTTTTCACTTTATGGAAAACAATAATTTAAATATAATTTACTGTAAATAATATTTTAATTTGTCTCCATTAAAAATGTTGTCAAAATGAGTATGCTCTCAAAAAAGCAAGCTGATTACGATGAAGTTGTATTTCCTTGATGAACATTTCCTCTAAACATGGTTTAATTATCTTTTCTCTTCATGAAATGCCCGAGAGAATTTCAGAACACTCTTAATAACCCTGCAAGAGACTAAGGTAAATTGGCTGCACCCCAGAACTGTCCCCAGTGCTCTGTTTGTGAAGTGAGACAATGCCAAGTGCCCAAACACCAGGTGTGTGAGCTCTGGAGCTATTGTGCCCTGGACAACACTGAATGTGCACTCATTGCCAAACAGTTTATTATAAACAAAGGGTTTTTTTAAACTATTCCATAGCACTCCAAGGAATTAGACAGTCTTGAACATGTGCCAGCATGGCAATGGGTACAATAAGCAAATACAATCTACCTCACTTAGGGTAAATATTTAGCTACAAATGTATTGAGAGCTCTTTAATTCTTTGTGCACTTCTGTGATGAGAGCTAGAGGAAAGGCAGTGGCGATGCAAGGACTGGAGGGTGATTTTTTCTTCTCTTATCAGCTGCACAGATAGGCTAGCTGCCAGTCAAATTAAAATCCTCACCGGAGGAAATGAATGAAGACCTGTAGGTGTAGAAATCTGCTGTTTATACAGCTGCCTCAATTTCTGCTAGTGATCAACCAGAATCGACCACATCTTCATGGAGATGTACAAAATTCTGTGGCAGTGTCCAGGAGGTTGACTATGGAAATCAGGACATCCTCAATTTTTTTTTCCCATTTATTTTTTTTAATCTCTTTTTTCAAAATTCTGCTTTCTGCCTGCCCCTATTATGTCTTAGAATGCTAGAAAGTATCTGGAAAGGAAAAAGGGTCAGATCTATGATCTACTTGGAGGGCAATGAAATATTTGGAAAGTTTGGAAGTACTCACCCATTTTGAAGACAGGATGTTCTGCTTGCAGGAGCAATACCTTATCTTCTCTCATTTACCCACGTCCTGCTTTTGCATCTGTATTTCTGCGGATCCCAAAAGAAAAGATTTATTCTTCCTAGCCAGAAACAAGCAGAGGTTTCTGTCTGGAGGGTTTCTGTACTGTCTGATCTATCTCATGAACAACGACTTCACATCATTCACCTGATGGAGGGCTGCAGAATCACAGGATATCCAATGAGATGTTCAGTATAGGAATGCCAGCAGTGCACACTGTCTGTGTGGCTGGATTGAGTGTATTGATTCTAATCACAAGGTTTTCAGACAGCTTCTGTATTCTGGATATGCAGGAAGACATTTATACTCGTCTGCTTGTCCTTCATTTCTTGTACTGCTCATCTATTTTTGATTAATGTCTTGATACTCTCTCCCAGGCAATGATGCTACTTTTGGGAGACAAACAAGGAACAGTATGGAAAGTAACAGAAATATTTTAATAGCATTGAAAGGTGTGGTTCATTATCTATTTGTGTTTATTTGTAGGGAAAAAAGGTGACTTGCATCCCTAAATAGCCTTACCTCATGGGTATGAGCCTACACGTCTGACTGCCATCTTATATCGACACTTTACCCAGCAGCCCAGGGATGGGTGTTTATTCAGAAAAGAATTGGCCCATGCACACAGACACACTGATTCTCACAAATGGTTCTGTGTATGCCTTGGCTTCTTGACTTCTGCCAAATTCAAGCCTAAATTCTAGGAAGCAACAATAACACTAACAGGAATCACGTCAGACTTGAAAGTGATTGCTTTAGCTCTGTGAACACAAAATGGACTTCTTTTTCTTCCTTAGAAGTGATTTTTAAACATGCCTTGGCTTCTCTGAGCCAGCATAGTTTCACCCTGCCAGTCAGGTTACGAAGACGAATCTGTTACCCCCTTTTGCAGATGTGGTATGTGAGCCTAGTTACATCACATTTTGAGGCAGATGGATCTCTGAAAGAAGCTCCACTATCCAATCATGTGTTTTCTGCCCCTTGCTATTGATTCTTGTGGTTAGTCTGTTTCTGATTTTATTTTTCTGTGTAGTTTAAGGGCAAGTCTGTGGTTTGCCCCATGTGCCCAAATGAGGGAGCAAGGGTGCAGAAGACTGCCTGAAAATAAATAAATCAGAAACAGATAGACTAATTACAAGGATGAATGCCAAGGGATGGAGAACACACAGCACCCTCATGATCAGATATGCCTGGCCTGTTGGAGGATGGATGTTTCACTATGTGATGTAACCCTGCACCACACTGGAGAAGAGAGCCAGAGTGTCCTCTTCCTTGCCTGGCTGAGCAAAACCCTCTCGTGTGGTTTGCCCGCACGGCATGTCCCAGCATGGGGAGAAACAGCTTCCCTGAGGTAAGGGTGGGGAGGAGCAAGGCTGAGAAATCAGAGGCTGCTCTTGCCTCCCCAGTGCCTGCCCCAACAGCCAGCAGGGCTAAGCTGACACGAGGAAGGATGTAATCTACTCCTGGTTGTTTCATGCTCAGGGCACATTACTTCCTTCCACGGACTAAGAGGATAGTCATGGATGTCATCCTGACTCACGGTCTCCTGGGGCAGCATGGCTCTGTGCCATGCCTATAATCAGATGACCTGAGGGGTGAATTAGGAAGGCTTTTGATGTCATTCTCTGAGTGCTGCACCACAGGAGACAAAGACTTCTTAACGTAACATCAGGCTATATCTTAAACATAACCATGAAACTAACTTTGACTTGCCAGCAGCTGGTGCAGACAGTGGCCTCCCTACACCGCTCTGGCACTTAGCATAAGAAATGTCATTATGTGGGTGGATTAGGCAGAACCTGTCAAAGTTGTGTGCGTGTTCTTTGGCTGTGTTTCCTTCCCCAGGCTAATAATGCTGAAGAGATGGGGAGTGGGTTGACACATTTTCTGGCATGTGTCATGTAACCCAGCGAAGTGGAGGACATGCCAGTCACAAGACTTTTGTGCTTTAGTAAGGCACAGGCAGCAGGGACATGCTGCAGTGGCTAGCAGCCTTAATCCTCTCTGGATTCACACCCTTTTCACCTTCACTGTGGTTACAGCTTCCCCAGGGTTTTCTGACAGACCCACAGGTATATTTGGAGGAAAAGGTAAGGAGATGCATCCAGGCAGGTATTGTTTAAGGTCATGTTATCTACAGACCCTGAAGCTCTTTGCAAGTTGACTGACATGATTTCCATAAGAACCACTGAATTTAGCACAGGGGGAAATATTCATTGCTTGTTTTGCAGTGTGCAGAAATGTGCTGTACCAGTTCAGCAGAGGATACAAAGAATAACCATGCCTGATAAGAAGACATTTTTAGGATAGAAGGCTCTAAAGCAAGATAACCAGAGACTGATGAAATTTAGGACACAGTCACTGTTTCTGGTTCCCTAATCAAGAGTGGGGGTTGTTAATATAAATATTGGGCTGAGAGAATTCCCATGGTCTAACAGAATCCCAAGGTAAATAATTCTCAGGAGAATATGGAAGACCAGTGCATTCAGTCTCACAGAGAAGTTTTGTTTTGCACAGCTGCCTGCTTAACACCTGTGCTGAGGAGATGAAGTTTACTCCCTGATCTGGGCAACATGCCAGGTTGGTTCCTCACAAATCACCATCAGAGGAACAGAAGAAGGAATGAGCATGTAAGCCCTGTATGACAGAAATGCCATCTTCTGTCTCTGCCTGTGTGTTGCAAGCTATGTTTGGTTGTTGGGAAAAGATGTATCAGCCTATATGCCGACGGCATATCCCAAAACACAGAGGCTGTAGGTCTGATGTGACTTGTAGCAGGCACAGCACCCAATTCACTGGGAAGAGCTACTGTATTATTTTCCTTGAAGTTCATAGTATTAAAATAAAAAAAAATAAAAATTAGAGACAGTAGCTTCTGCAAGTAACTACAGCTGAACAACAACTACTACTCTGTTGCAGTATCTGAGCATCTGTAGGTCATCTGTTGCAGCATCTATCAGGTCAAGAACTGCCATGCCCAGATGCCACATTCTCATTCCATGTAAAAGTGAAGCGCAGCAACTGCATCAGTGGCAGAAATATAACTTGGCAGGCACGGAGGCAACCTGTGGAGGGGAACTGCATGGTAACCCCACAGGATGGGGGATACCTCCTCCCTTCACTTGCTGGTGTTGAGTCACAGTGGGGGATTGTATTTAGGGGGTAACAGAAAGTGCCCCTTGGCTGTACCTCCTGCAAGCACGTCATTGGTGTGACGCGGGTCTGCCCTGTGTCACGCACAGCTGGTCACCAGTTAGTCACCTGGGGACAGGAACCTGAGGGACTGCAGTGTCATGCTCTGAGGGATGTCCTATGCTGATTATGCCATAGGGGAGGCAGAGATAGAGGACAGTGATGAGATGGGAGATGACTCTGACAATTTACTTACTTGTTATGCTTACTTGTTATTTACTGCATAACACTTGTGTGAAGTTGAGAAAACCTGCATCAATGCGATGACTGACACAGAATTTGTATTGTCCCGTGGCCAGCGTGACCCTGCTCAGATTGCCAGACAACGTCACATCTCCAGTTGTGTAACACCACCATGCTCTCTAGATCCCAGGTCTTTAAACATTATTGAGCTGACTGTTTTTACCCTGTGGTGGGAATTCAAATATTGTTTATCAGTGGAAATGTTAACTACGTGTCCTTTGTTGGGAGTAAAACAACCTGATTTCTCATACTTCTTCTGAAAGTAGGAACTCATTGGAGAGAAAAAATGTGTGCCAGCAGGGAAAAAGGAAGAGCTTTCATCTATGAGTACACAAAGTGCAGGGTACAAAACAGTGTTTTGGTAGATACCAGTGTTTTGCAATTCAAGTATCACATGACTGGAAAAAAAAAATCCACTTCTACCATGGTATTTTTCATTTACAAACAAATAAAAAAATTAAGTTAAACTCTGTTCATTTATTGCTTTAATTTCTCCCCACCTTGTTTGTTTCCTATTTTCTTGTATGGTGATGTGATGTTGTTTGGTTCCTTGTTTGCTTTTATTTGAAATAATTTTGCATGCAATTTTCTGAACTCTTGCGGAGCAGAGAGACTAGTAAACGTGTATGTTTATGCACCTTTGTGCATGTACAAAGAATGATGGATACTTAATAAAATTCACATCACTGCAATCCTTTCATGCTTAAGATCCCCAAACAGAAACTGTGAGTATTCAAATAAAATAGAACTGATCCAAAATGTACATATTTAACTTAGATAATAGCAGTCCCCAGATATGTGCCTCTTTCTGCAGTTGGAAATCTGTCAGTTGAACAAAGAGCAGGATATAGTGTGAATTAGGCTGTCCTAAAACCTTTATGTGATAGACACACTTTATGGAGTTAGTTCCATTTCTCTCACATTTCAAAAGCAGACGCAGAGCCTGGTTATCATGAAGACAAACTCCACAAAATCATTTTTTTGTACTCAAGGACTGCAATATTTTTTAAAAGTCAGAATACATGTTAAAAGAACAGTTTGTCCCAAGGCTTATGGTTCAGCTGAAGAAAGTTTCTTCTTGATCCATCCATCTGAAAAATTGTTCCTGAAAAGTCACTCTGCATAAGGGTGTTTTTGCTATTTTTTTCAGGGAGAAAAAGTATAAATGAGCTGTAAAGCTCGTGTTGTTCTGAACTCATTCTCTCCTCTTTCACCATGAGTTCACCAAACAAAATTCCACAAGAAACAAATGTTATTATGAGATTAGCAGAATGAACGCCAGAGTTCAGATACTAAACATTTTTTTTAAAAAACAGTGAGCTTAATGACATGAAGGAAGTTGTAGTTTAAACATCAAGGTCAATTATTTCGTTAAATATTATTTAAAAGTTCCTTGCCTTGAAACAAAACCAGAGCTATCCCTTTCCCAAAAATGCAAACAGATTATACTGCCCTGTTTGTCAGCTTCACTAGATAACTTCTATTTGATCTTCAAATGAAAACAGTTTCTATTTCAGATTTATACAACAGGCTGCCTCTAAAAAGAAAAAAGATCCTAAGGTTGGACTGCTGTTTACTTTCCCTTCTAATCCTGTGAGAAAATTTGCATAAGAAAAGCAAGTAGATTTGAGTCTAGCTTTTGCTGTCTACATCGAAAGCAGGAGCATCAGTCAGTCCTCTCTATTTATTCAGACAGAAAGCGATTGTTTTGTAAGTCAGGTGAGTAGAAAATCTTTCAGTCATTCAGCTGGGTTCTTCTAAAAGTAACAAGGACTACTTATTAAGACTAAGTGGTATTTAAATAAATAATTATAACAGTCAAACACTGAGTTTAAAACCTAGCCCCCCCCCTGCCCCCCCCCCCCAAGTTGCATGTCTGTTTCCTCATGCCGTATACTTGGTTTAAAACAACATCCAGAATTGGTGTTTCCTGGATCTTGCAAAGCAGCCCCTTGTATTTGCAGACAGCTTTCTCTCAATTCCTAACAGCATCAGTGTCAGGGAGCACTTCAGTGAGCAGAGCAGTGCTGGTTGCTGCTGGGAGCTCTGGGTCTCAGGACAGAGCAAGTGCCCCCAGCTCCAAGTGTGACCCCTGGAGCAAACCAGTTCACTCCTCTGTAGAAGGGGAATAGGGACTCATACCTACAAGAGTGCTGTGAAGCAGAGTAGTTTTATGTGTGCAATGTACTTGAATTTTTTTTTTTTTTTTTTTTTTTTTTTTTTTTTTTTTTTTTTTAAAAAAGAAAAATTTTTTTTTTTTTGGGAGGGTATTAGAAGGGATATTTTGGATCATGGGGTCAAGTTCCTTGCTGTGGGTGGTAACCACATCTCAGAAGCTGGTTCTCAAACCAGTCAAATTCCATCTTTCAGGTGCTTTGATTCCTTCCTGACTGCGGAAGGCCTTTTTGGGTCCTCACCGCTCTGGTAGAGTGAAGGTGCTTTTCTTTTTCCATCTTGAATCCCTTCCTGGACAGTTTGTACCAATTCTTTCCCATATTTTATTTGGGAGAAGTGGAGGGAAACTGTCTCACAATTTTCAGATTCATTTGAATTTTTCTCTAGCCCCAGACACCTGGTGGAAAGATGCCAGCAATGCTGTAGGCTGGTTCGATGTACCAATAAAAATAAAATTAAATTAAAAAATCCCCCAACCCTCGTGTAAGAAAAGCGCCATTCTTAGAAAGTCTCCAGCGTTCCAGCTAGAGCACAAACAGCTGCTTATTTAGGACTCTTCTCGGGTAAATCCACAGTCCCGGGCCAGAGGGGCCGCAGCTCTTGTGGTCTCGCACTAGCCCAGACCCCCCTCGGTGGGGAACACACAGAGGAGAAGGGAAGGAACGAGTAGGGAGAGGCAACCATCCTCAAACCGCGGCTGAAACTTCGCCTGAGGAGGGCCGACGCTCCGCTGGGTCGAACGAAGGAGGAGAAGCCTCCGCGGGACTCAGGTCCCCGCCCGGGCTCGGCCCCGCGCCCCCCGCCCGCCCCGCCGGGCTCGGCCCCGGGCCCCGGGCTCCGCCGCCCGGAGGAGGCAGCGGGGCTCGCCGGGGCGGGAGATCGCTGTTTTGCCCTTTGTCTCGGGTTTTCCCCTGCCCAGGGAACAAGCGCCTTTGTTGGAGCTGCGCTCCCCAGGGCTGCGGGTGGTTTTTCGTTTTGTGGTTTTGACCTTTCTCCTCCGCTGCCTCCCGCAGGCCCGTCCCCGCAGCGGCGGCCCCGAGGGCGGACGGGGCAGCGCGCCGCCGCCTGTCCCTGGGAGAGCCTCGGGCACGGAGAGGAGCAGCCTGTGGGGCTGAAACGGCGGCGAGCGGGAGGGATCGGGAGCACTTCGCCGGGGTGTGGGACAGAGGCAGCGGTCCTTGTCCCTCGGCCACCCCTGTCCCTGCTTCCCATGGTGAAGGCAGTGTGTGCCCCCGTGGAAATGCGGTGCGACAGCAGCTCTGCCGGCACGCGGGGCACGGGCTGGAGCCAGGGCCAGGTGTGCCATCGGGAAATACCACCTCCAGCCGCGGATCGAAGAGCTTCCAGGCCATGGCTGCACGGCTCGACAGGGGAGCAAACAGCCCGTCCCCATCCCCCCTTCGACAACCACAGCCCCCGCAGCCTCCATCCAAACCCAGTAAGGCTGAAGCAGCAGCCACCAAACACCCTCGAAAAGAGCCTGCCGGACCTCTGAAAACCCAAAGAAAACCGAACACCAAAGTGGAAACGAGCCAACAGGAGCACCAACGAGCCCCCCCGAATTGTGGGGGAGCCGGTCGGCACCGCCAGCACAACCGCAGCGCTGCCAGCCCGTGGCTAGCCGCAGGGGGCCCGGCGCCCGGGGGACCACCCTCACCCTCCAACGCCGACTGCTGGTTCCTAATTCCTACGAATTCAACCACATTCCCCCAGGGATAACGGGGGCGGGATGGGGTTTAAACCCCGAGTACAATTGCAGTGAAACCGCAAGGAAACAGGCGCAGGTGAAGGGCAGAGCGCGCTCGCTGCCGCGTTGCTGCCGCAAAACTTGAGGGGGATCGGGGCGCCCCACACAACGACGGGCAGTAAAGGGAGAGAAGGCTCCGAGCGCGGAGAGAGGAGCCGAAGAAAGCGGGCTTTTCCCTGGAAGCGGGACGGGAGCGGCTGGCTGTGCGGGACCAGCCCCCGGTGCGCACCTTCCGCCCCCGCGCAGCTCCGCGGGGACCTGCAAGGCTTTTACACGGGCGATCGCGCCTGGCCGGCTCACATCGAGCAAGAGCCTTTCCGGGAACAGGCTACTAAGAGCAGCGAGAGCAGGAGGGGGAGGGTGGGTATGAAATAAAAGGCTAAAGAAACAGTACGATTGTGGGACCAGGACCAAATCCTAACGTGTTACATAAAAGCCACGGGCGGTTCTTATCAGCAAGCCCGGCCTAAAGAGGAACAATCCCCAGGACCGGCTCCAAAACAACCCTGTTAAAGGAACAATTGTGAAATGCCAACTTCCCACCAGCGTATGAACAGCAGGAGCCGGGCATGTCCTGTCTATAACCGGGCTTCTGACAACCGACAGAGAGGGGAGGGGACGGAGGGGGATCCTCTCTTGACAAGATTTATCAAGAAACATTTAACTGGGCTTTAATCATATTAGCAAGAGCCCAATTAGGGCTGAGAGCGAAGCGAGGCTGGAGAGAGGAGGAGGAGCAAGCGATGGAGTCACTCGAGGATAAAGTCCTTTCATCAGGCTGCGCTCTCGGCAAACAGAGGAGTGCGAATAATCAGTGCCCTTCACTGGGGGGACGGGGGAGGGAGAGGCTGGGGAATGTGTGTAAAGGTTCATTAAGGCCAGGCAGAAGGGGGTTTTTGTTGTTGTTGTTGTTGTTGTTTTTAATTATTACGGCTATTAAGGTGGTGTCTGTGGGCTCCCTCGGGCACTGTTCTCATAGATGGAGCGGGGAAGAAGGGAAGGGGCTCGGAGGCACCTGCTGCACTGCGATGACCTGATCTGCGTGTGCGGATAGGTCTCTCCCTCCCGGAGCAAAGAGGGGCTCCGTCCCTCCCACTCGACCTCACATCACCGAGGGAGAATTTCCTTAAAAGCCCTTTTCCCGGCTCTCGTCTCGCTGATTTCGAGCTCTTCCCCGGCGCATCCTACCTCCCAGCGCGGCTCCTTGCGGGGAGCGCGGTGCCCCACCGCCCCCGGCGGAGCCCAGTCCGGTGCCCGGTGCTCGTCGAAAGCCCCGCGGAAAGCGCGGCGCTGGGAACGCCCGGATCAGGGGCAGAGGGCAGAAGATGTCCTCCCGGGGTTCACACTCTACGTGTTTTCGCGTGGGCAACCTGCCTTGTCCTTAGGGACTCGGTCGCTCCAGCTGTAGGGGATGGGGTGGGCGGACAGCAAAGAAATGAAGAAAAACTAGAGATGACAAGTGGGAGCAAAGGAAGAGGCTGTGGATAAGCCCATGAACCCCCCTCCCCGGGTTACGCCACCTCGGGACACGGCGGTGGGAGCGCGGCAGCGGCCGTGACCCTGCTTGCGGCTTTCGAGACATCGCCAGCAGCTGCCGGCAGCTGCCCCGATTTCCTGCCGCTCCTCGCGGCCAGGAGAAGGGAGATAAGGCTGTCGGACAACGGGGCACCTTTCGCCCAAGAGAAGCCGGATCTTTGCGCCGCGGGGCAGAGGATGCTGTCTTTTTCTTTTTTTAACAGGACAGGGCCCGGGTGAGGTTTGCCATTCGCACCGACGAGCATCCCCGCTGTCGGAAACCACATGACCCGTGCCTGGAGCGGAGGGGCTTTCGCCCCCCACGCCCCCCTCCGCCTCCTCCCCTCGCCCTGGGCCGCCACAGCCACGTCCTCGGGGACGCGGGGCCCTGGGGGCAGCGCCTCCCCACGCACCGTGCCCTTTGCGTGACCGTGCCCCCGCCGCACCTTCCCTGTCCCAGGCTTACCTTTCCGGCCCGGCCGCCGAGGGGCTCCCCCCCCGCTCCCGCCCCCCGCCCCGGCTCCGCCATCCCCGCCGCAGGGGTGTCGCACGCCGCCGCGCCGGCACAGCCTCGGCTCTCGCCTTGCGCGCACTCGGCTGGCGCTGGCAGCCCCGCCGGGTTCATGCGAGGACAGCGGCGGCTCCGCGCCGCGGCTCGTCTGGCTGCCAACGCCGCGGCGAGGCTGACGCTGCCGCGGCCGGGGGTGACTCACGGCGGCAGCCGCCGGGTAGCGGATCCGACAGTCGAGCGGCGAGCGGGCACATCGGGCCCCGCTCTTCGCCCCCTTCCCCGGGCACCGCGTGCCATCCGTAGCACCCATGCCCCCTCCCCGACCCCCTGCGCTTCTGCCAAGTGGAATAAACGCCCGGGTTTCCGGCAAATATTCACCCTTCCGACACCGAACGGGAGGCCGCCCCCCTCCCGGCCGGCACCCCTGTCGGAGGCGGGCCGGGGTCCGTCCCCGCGGCCGGCAGCGCTCCCGGCGGCACCCGCCCCCAACGTAAGTGACCGTCGGGGCCGGGAGGGGGTGGCCGTCCCTCGCGCCCCGTGCCCGAAGGGGCCGCGCTCCGGCGCCAGGGCTTGAGCGGGCGGGCGGGCCGGGGCCGGGCCGAGCCCCGGCCGTGTGCCCCGAGCGCAGCCCCGGCCGTGTGCCCCGCGCTGTCCCCGAGGTGCGCCCGGCGTGTGCCCAGGGGACAGCCGCCCACGGACAAAGGCAAACACAGAACCTTAACGCGGGGCGGGGAGGGGACGGGGGCACAGCCAGGGACGGGGATTCGGAGTCCGAGTGACGGGCAGCGGTGTCATCACCGTTGTGCTCTGCTCCGTTCGGCAAACACGCAGCAGAGTTTTAGCTGCCTGCGGTTTCCATGGAGCCCTCCTGGCACGTCCCAGCAAAAACGTATGGCGGATGTCTTCACGGCGAGCCTGCAGCGGGTCTCCCACTTTTTCTCAGAGCTCCCAGGTGGAGTGTTTTCAGATCCTTTACACTGCGTGGCTCAGCACCGCAGTGCTTTTGAGAAACATGCTTCGTGCATGACATCCCTGTTTTGAAACAGAGTTTTGAAGTGAAGCTGTAGCAACACACATCTTTCAGTCCAAGCTTTCTGCTGGATGCACAGTTTTAAAAGCAGTGGCTCCCTGAAATGAGGAGATTATTAAAAGCTTATTTATTAAGAAGCTCAAACCACAAAGGTAATGGTAATGAGTGTTACATACTCTGCATACACGCTCAAGTTTTGGATAGAGGATGAAGGCATGAAATCAGGCCTGTACTTAAAAATACTCTAAAGCTACTTGTCAGAAATGTGCTAAAATGATAAGCCATGGATTTAGTGGCATGGATTATGCTGTCAGTCCTTCTACCTAAAGTTCATTTTTAAGTCCAAATTTCAGCCCTTTGAGAAAAGATAGGCAGTGGAAGAGGAGGAGGAGGAGGAAGAGACTATTTTAATTGAAATGCTGACATTGCTAACCATGGCAGTGTGAATTCACTACTATAATAAAACCTCAGCTAGCAGCCTAATTCCAGAGAGGTGATGTTATCCAGTAATAATGTAATCAGTTTGTTGGCTGTTACATAGGAAACTGGGAATTACTATATTTTATTGATATTTTTGGCCAAAATGTAAGAAAAATCAATAAGATGCCAGGATTGAGGCAGGAGAGCTACCTTTCCTATTTAAAATAATAAACCAAAGTTCTTCATGAACATTTTTCACTTCAGTGCAGTTTTACAAAAGCATACTTAAAAAGGGACAGCTAGTGAGAATGCAAGCTTTCAAGCTAGGAATTGGAAGACAGAAAGGCCTAAGGGTGTAACATTGTTAAAAGTGAGAGGTCCTGAAAGCACAGTGTTCACTTTACAAAATAGAATTTTTCTCCTGGGTAATCGCTGAATGAGTTTGCATTGATTTGCGGCTGTGAATTTAAAGGAAAAAAAGGGAAAGAAAATAAATGAAGAAGACAAATTCCTTGTTAGTAAATTGTGATGGAACAATTAAGAAAATTGTGTCAGATATATGAAAAATTGGAATTGACTGCTTAAGCTTTTGAGTTTATATAGTCAGGATTCTCCATCCCTCATATCTGTCTTTAATACTTGTTTTTAAGGAGTAAACATTCTGATAATTTTATAGGCATCTGGCTGTCAAATTACAAATAAAAGCAGAAGTGAATTAACTTGTAAGGTGCATGTACCAGTGGAACCATATCTTCCAGAGAGGGTTAGTCAGTGTTGTTAGTGAGGTCAGAATTTCAGCCACTGTGAAGGTTTTGTTGTTGCAGAAAATTGCAAGGATAGACCATATTATACCCCTAATTCAGGTTTAGATTTTGCTGTTGCTCTTGACGGTGTTCTACCTGTTTAACCTTAACCAAAATTCACTGTGGTCAGTGGGACTCTTTGGGTTGGGGCCATGAATTGTCTGAAGGAGCAAATCTTAAGTTTCTCCGTGTTGCTAGGAAGCCTAGTAGTATCAAGACAAAGACATATGACTGTATGTGAAGACAATGAAAACAGAGTAATGAGTATAGCCAAATCATAACTGCCATTTGAACAGAGTGGCTTGTAAATAACAGAGCCCTACAAGAATACTTGGGTGTGTCTGAGTCAACCCATTTTGAAAACCCTATGATATGCAGCTGCAGAAACAACACAAATTCTTGAAAAACAAAACTTGAAAAGTCTTGAAAGTCACGTTTCCAAATACAAGTGGTGTTCTGCATATAGATACATCACATGTTGTCCAGTAACTTAAAAAGTAGGCTAAAACTGCTACAGTCACTACCTTGTTCATCTGATCTACTTAAGGCAACATTAACCCTCTTTTAAAACTTGAATTCAACAAAGCATTATTATATGCATTGCAGTGATTTGTGAATGTGTATAGTCTGGGCTGTGGTTGATATTCACTGTCAGGCTTAAATCCAAAAACATACAAGTTAATTTGCACTACGTGACCCTTGGCACTACAGAGTGCCAAGGAAATACCAATTGGAAAAGGTATTTTGAGAATATTTTTCAAAGCTGCCCGTGTACACTTGCTTGAAGCTAGAAGAGAGACGTGATATAATGATAGTTATTTTGGCTTTATTGTGGAAGATAATGTCAGCTTGTGACTACTGACTGGATGTGAAACAAAACTTTATGGCTATATGGATTGGGTTGGATGTGGTATGTCAGCAGTCATACAGGGTACTAATGGAAGCATTGTGAATTAGTTCTGTGAAAAGATTCATGTGACAATTAATTACTGTTTCTCTCAAATACAAAATGAGAAGGCATTGAAAAATTAATTGAGGAAATTTATGTATGGATATGAAGCATGGTAGTTTGGGTGCCAGCTGCCACACAGGAAATTCCCAAACCACTAACTGATGGCACTTTTGAGAACTTAACAGGTTAGGTTCCAAACAGTATTTTCAGTTTGGTTTTTTTTTTTTTTTTTTTCATTAGGCCATGACAGAGAGATTACACTAGCGCAATAGAGACATTTTTTGCTTCCTTGGTGAATTGTTCTTGAAGTCTTACCTCCTTTGTCATTGCTCACAATTGCTTAGCTTTTTATTTTTGATACAAAATGCCACCTTTTTAATTGAGAGACTGAGTATGATAGTGTGGAGGTGGGTCCTCATGTATACAGGAGGCACAGAAGCAAGTGAAAGAGGAAAAGGGAAAGAAGAGGGAGTTTGGAGGGCACAGAAGGAAGATGGGAAATGTGAGGCTTGCATTGGAAGGACTGATGATGGGATGGGAGAGGAGGAGACCGGACCACTGACTGTGGAGACAGCTGTGTTCAGAGTTTGTTATTTGATCAAACTACTCCTTATTTAACATGCCCTGCATTTCTCAGTGGGGATACAGCTTGGAATCTGTGTGAAATGGTGAAAGATTGAGAAAGTAAAGACAGAATGAAAAAGCAAGAGACAATTCCCTAATTTGTTTCTTTTGCATTTCTAAAGCCTGCCTAGCCCACACATCGGGTAGGGTATGCTTAGAATCTTGGAAGAAAAAATAAGCTGCAGCTGGAACAAAGTTGGAAGTAAATTCCAGTAATTTTAAAGATGATAAAAAATATCTGACCATTCTTTCTCCCTCCTCCCTCCAGAAGGTCCAACAAAATCATCTACCCCATGGCAAATGCCTGACAACAACATGGTATGTGTATCTACTCAGAAATCAGAGTTTAGGGTATATATATGTAACTGCAACTCATATTTTGTCCTTCTCATATTATTTACCTGGAACTTTCACACTGCCATATTTTTTACTTTCTTTTTCACTCAATTTGCTTCTTTGCTTTTGGGACAGAAAATCCCTCATGCAGTGTGGTCCAGGTTATACTGAACCACGGATGTCTCATGCAGAGCA